TTCTGCTAATGACAGGATGGTCCTGTCAATACTGCAGGTTTTTCCAGTATTGACAGGATGGTCCTGTCAATAACGCAAGTTTTTTTCCAATATTGACAGGATTTGCTGTCAATAACAGAAAAAGTTGTACTATTGACAAGATGATACTGTCAATAACGGAAAATTTTGCATACTATTGACAGGATGGTCCTGTACATCGTGGATTTCTTCTGTTATTGACAGGACCATCCTGTCAATAGTGCAAATTTTCCTACTATTGACAGGATGGTCCTGTCAAAATAGACACTTCCATTTTAAAATGCTTCAAGTATACTATGGGCATGCCAAGTCCATCGCTGCCGACAGATTAAAGTTTCAACCATTACCTGTTAGGGTTTGACATTACCAATTATTGACAAATACTCCAACTTTGCAGTTAGTTTAATCTATGTGGGCAGATGTTGGCTTCTGATTGATTACTAACAATGCATTGAAACAATCCTGTCAATAATGAAAAGCACAATTGAGAGGATGGTCCTGTCAATAGTGAATTTTCTTTAATTGACAGGATATGGTCCTGTCAATATTGCAATTTTCTGTTTTTGACAGGATGGTACTGTTCTTTATATGCAGCTTTTCTTCTCTTCAAACCCGTTACGTACAAGTTTTCGGAGATTACAGGGTGCCAGTTTTAGGCCATGGTAAACTTCGTGACACGATGTATCTGTTACTGGCGGGCAGGAAGGCTATAAAAGCGGGGTTATTCTAACACCACAATCAGACTGCGGGGAACGATCACTTATAGCTTCAGATCAAGGCACTGTTGTCGACACAAACATGCTAACTAAAGATGCTATTCACACTTCATCACGCTGTTCATCAGATTTCAAGACATTCGATGCCACAGACATTTAAGTTTACCATTTGCATACAAATTTACCATTGCTGTTGGGTGATAGATCGGTATGGGAAGTGTGTCAACAGATCGTGCTATCTTCTCTTCAAGCAAACCTTTCAGTTGCATTAATTCAATATCAAATTTGCAGGACAGTATCCATTTACTACCCATTTGGCTGGATTAAAAAAAGAAAACATCCCCCAAAAGCCCTCAAAATGCCTAAAAACGTAAAAGAGCCAAAGCCTAAACCTCTGCTTGTAAATTACCCCTGTCTGACACCGATGTATTTTAACAATTGTAGCGACTAACATTACAAGGATACAGCCTGCTGTAATTTTAGATTCTAAGCACGTCAAGTACCTTTGTCTTCCGAGGCAAATTGCAAACATACCACGAACTTCTGCGCATGACAACTTCACAGAAATACCTTCCCCACACGCACCTGTGGTAAACTTCGTGGCACGATGTACCTGTTACTGGCTGGATGAGAGGCTATTAAAGCGGGGCCATTTTAACACCACAAGTAGACTGTGGGGACCGAACACTTCTGGCTTCATCAGGTCAAGAAACTGTTGTCGATACAACAAAGGCGCTTCAGTTCAAAAGTCTATAAAATCGGGGCCATTTTAACACCACAGGTAGACTGCGGGAAACGAATATCTGTGGCTTCAGATCAAGGCACTGTTGTCGACACAACAAAGGCGCTTCAGATATATTGTGACTAAGGTAAGATACGAAGACTGTAATACTCTGTGCATTACGTTTTGTTTGTGATTTTTAAAACGGGTAATGACAGCACAGTTAACAGCATAATAAAGCATTGGAGTTGCCAAAAAGCAGTTAGTCCAGCAACTGGATATGATTTTAAAAACGGTCAGACGTTTCAGCTAGTATCCACTAGCTTACGTCAGTAACTGAGAGACCAGAGAGAGGAGAAATGCAGGTTTATAAGCGCAAACTATTGATTGAAATGCAAATAAAGTGAAAATATTTTTTGGAAGTCGAAAAGGCTACAAAAGTCAGACAAGTTAAGACAAGATAATGCAAATAAGTCAGAAACCATCGATTCTGACTTTAAAAAAAATAATGCTAAGTCTGAAATTCGAAATAATATTTGATTTTTTTAGGTAAACGCAGTACTGTGTATATTGTCAGGTCTACGTGACCCCTTGGCAATAGTAAGATATGGCTGGGGCTTTTAGAAAACGTTGGCTGTATATAGGGATAATGGAATTTCATATTTCAACAAGAGGTCGATGATTTCATACCTTCGTCATGTATGAGTT